ACCACCACCACCACCACCACCACCACCACCAGACCACAAATAGTCATATCAGCAACAAATGCTTCAGTGCCTGGTCATGACCTGCTATAACTAATCATTTTTAGTCTAGGTTAAAGGAAAAACCGAATTTACCCAGACTTGTCAGGCTCTCAAGTCCAAAAATGATCCACGACGTGTTTGGCAGTTGTGCGAAATTAGTCATTTTTACACGCACTGCCTACTAGATGTAAAAAGTAGCTTATATTTACCCCCTGGGTCATTTTAAAATATCGTTTAAATGCACCCGACCAAGTGATCACCAACCAGCCGTCTGACTGAGCAAATCCACTTATTACTTTAAAAATATTTCAAACACCTCAAAGAACAGAATACGCTGTTGAGGGCCCCGGCATGTTGTCTTGAACTACGCCGGGGCCACTGCGACAGTCTACGCCGAATACGTTACCCTGTGCTCCAGCGAAAATAAAGACCGGAGTGGAGAGGGCACAACCGTTTACTAGACCGCTCAACCAAGTTGTGTCGTGTACAATTACGGTTCAGTGGACATGTACAAAACTAAACACGGGTGTCAGTTAGGTCACATGACTAAAGAAGGTGGCGGTGGGACATGCAGAGTGGTTAATAAACCAGCGGCCTCACGTGACTGACGGGCAGGTCGTGAAAAGGGGGGACGTGTGCTGGAAGCTGCGAGGACTGGGTTATGGGAATGAATCAACATGAATCCCTACAATGCATTTCCGAAAATATAGATTTCAAACACAAACTGACAATTAACAGTGTTTACTGTGCAAAAGTATGACATTTTCCAAAACTAGAGTATTAACCTCGACCAGAATTCAAACCTCTGCTGTGGAACCTAAACTCGGAAACTAGTAGATCGGCATTTGAGCGGATGCACAAATAGGTATTTCTCTGACGATGTAGCCGATTTTCGAGCTGACACGTACCTATTACTATAATTTCCTTGAAGTATAACTACCCTGCAGATAACTTCGAAGGCCAATATCCTTTTTCTGCTACCAGTAATGCGAGTTGTTTTTTTTCAAATGTGTTTTTGTTACAGAAGTTTCAATGTCTCTGAAACCACGACAACGGAGAATTTATCTGCCTGTCTCCCAATCGCCTAATTTAGGAAGGCTGTCATGGCGCTCACAGAAGAAGGTGTGTATCACGTGACTTCGGGGTTACGTAGGTGGAAGCGCGGATTATACTCACACCATGCCTAACGCCAGTTGAATCTGGAAATGTACTTTGCACAAACGAGTGGCATGTAAATTTACAGACGCGAAAATAAGTATCCCTCTACGGATATTTCATAACATGCATGCTCAAGTTAAATTCAATTCTACATTTACTAGTTTCTATCTCGTATTTAAGCAGCCTAGTTGATTTAACACACGGTAGACACATGTGTTGGCACTTCTGATTGCTTGTAAGTAGCGCTTAAAGTACTGTTGGGGATCCAACACTCACCAAGACGGCTCATCGCGGGTTAGGATTTCGTCATTGGTCAAACCATTCAGTGGACGAGTCAACCTAGGCGCCCTACACACAACCCCATCTGTGGTAATCAACCGGGTTAAGGTCACTCCTAACCTACATAAATGGTCACTTTCTGCCAGATTATTGGGTGTTTGATTGAGTCCGTAAAAAGCTCTCTGCACGAAGTCCTGTCTTATCCATGTTTTGAGGAGGCGATGGCTCAGACGTGTGTTTGTCCCGTGCTACTAAGGTGGAGTCTTGCGTCAGACAATGGATCTGGAGCTACAAAACTACGAAAAGGCTGCGTATGTAACAGTGGAATGCCAGAACATTTAGGGCACAATTTAAGTCGTATTTCACCGCACCACTTCGTGAATCTAGAATATTTGTTCGTTTCTCACGCGATCCAAATGTGTGACATGTGAGAAATTCGCCATGGTGCCTTTATTTCTCACAGTTTATATTTCCAGTGAAGGACTATCGTGATCTTTCAAATTAAGTGCTTCTGTTATAAGGTCACGAATGGAAACTCTCATTCCAGTTAGAAAAAATAGGTATGCTTCTTAGCCAGTAATAAAATGGCTCGGGTCTTTTTTAACACAGCATCACTTAGAAAAAACTTATCTCCGTAATCATATTAAATTAATTCATCATTTCATCACATCACATACTTCGCTAATATTTGCGCAGCCATTTAGCGGTTAAAGTTAGGCAGCCCATCATCATGGCAGCATTGCCCACGTGACGACGCTTTATGTCATGTTATCTGTCACCAAATCATGCTTCGTTGGGAAAATTGCCATTCTCACTAACTTTATCTGGCTCCGAAAATCCCAGCTTTGTGGGATTAATGTTAACAGTAGCCTGATATAGAAGATAGTTTAGAGATAAAGTAGTTGGTGTGTCGTAATCCTAACCTGTTAACATTATACCAACGCCTAACGGTCAGAAATATTTGTTGGAATCGCTTTATCTGCTACTATAAACTTACACTGGTACTTGAGACAAGTAAAGGCCTCTTCTGGATCTGTAAGTACTCGAATTAAAATAAACTGGCTAAATTCCCACTTTTGTGAGGCCAGCGTAGCCAATCGAAATTAGTAAACTCCACTCTCTGGCAACTGCGAATCGTGCTTGATATGTCTAGCCCGTAACGAAGATCCCACGCGCAGATAACCGATACTCCAGATCCCCTGTCTGACGCCAGAACCCACCACCTGCCGAGAGCTGTTAACATCTCAGCCAGAATGTGCTCAATTATCTAAGTCAAGAGCTACCTTGACCTAATGGATCAAGGCGGACTAACACAGACGACCTCTCACTCGCTGAAATGGTGTGATAGATGGAATGGTTTGAACAATAGTGAAATCCTGACCCACGATGAGCCGTCTTGGGGAACGCTGGATCCCCAACAGTGCTGGCCACGTGAACCGAGGTGGTTAGGAAATTCTACAATTACTTATTTGTTTTATTTACGTGCAACGATCGTTTTACTTACGATAATTCCTATTTATTTACTTATTATTGGCTTAGTTGTTTTGATTAATCAACATAAAGTCTGTGATGGAAATTTCACTTAAATTTTATTGAACATTTAATCGGTTTGCGGATCCCTTGAAACCGAAAAATGAGATCAGGCTGAGTTGCTGCTACCTAATCGTTGTTTTCCAAGAAGTAAAGAATGAAATGTACACGTCGCCCTGTCCACAAAACCCAATTTGAGCGCTACTTTCAAACAGAGATGTTGCGTTTAAGTGCCGTTGAAATATTGTGGATATTTATGGTTATATTTTTTTGGTCAGGAAAACCTTGTCAAACGTCTCTAACCATACTTTCGATTTGTTTCAGATCTGATCAAGTCTTTAAACTGATGTTGTTCAATTTTATTGAATACTTTAAAATTTGGCAAGCCTTTTTTTCAAGCGAAAACTAATTCAGCAGCCTTTCTTGTCTTTTGGTAGCTTTCGAGCTTGGTTAAATGATGTTGTCTGCCACAATACTTTTGTAGCAACCATGAAATTTCGGGTAATGATCCCCACTGCAAATGCAGCCCACCACCATCGTGTAAAGGTAAACTTTGTTGAATCCATTTGGGAAGGCATGTACAAACCAAGTATTCCAGAGCCCTGTATACCCTCGTTTCAAATCAAGAGCAAAATCGTAACCAATCACAATTTAGCATTCACAATGATAACTCGCAGGAAACGTATCATGCTTCCCGGCGAAAAAGCAGAATCGTATACTGTTTGTTAGTTGTTGACATTGTAGCTTTATCGTACCCGACCGGCTATTAGCAAATGACCAGCGCTGTAAAATTACATAGCCACGGAGGTCATAAGTCCAATGGAGGTTTAAAACATTGGTATTTCATAAATTATTGATTTTTAAATGGCTGTTCTGGAAAATAAGGCATCTTTCGAAGGTTTAGATTGATTCGAGTGATAGCTTTTCATCCAGCTCACTTTCATCGTCTTTCTCATCCTCGCCTTGTTCCCCAGCGTCGGGCAGGTGGATTCCGACCACAGCCTCGTAGATGATAGCTCCGAGAACAGCCCCAACGATGGGCATGAGAGCCGGCACCCAGAAGTAGTAGTTGTCAATTGTGAACGCCGAAGTCCCCCAATCTACAAGGCAAATTCAGGCGTCTTAGGTGACATTTCTTTAAGAGACATTAATCAAGATAATAATGAGCTTAGGTGTCCGCATTCAGGGTTCATGAGTAAAATATACTTCAGAAACCAGGCAAAGACGTCTGCTTGTCTTTGAAAAATTCAGTTACATATTTGGCCGGGCGAAAGAACACTACTTACGAGTAGCCAGTAGAAGGATGCGAGGGCCAAGATCACGAGCGGGATTGAGGGCGGAGCTGGCGTTTGCGGTGTAGGTCCCAACAGCCAGGAACACAACCATGCCAACGAATACGGGATTAAACAAGTCTGGCTTGCGAACCAGCTTATAATCCGTCACGGCCAGAATGCCTATCATCAAAATGGCCGTGGTGAGTATCTGATCCACTACGGCAGTTCCCAAATTGGAATTTTTTCCAGCGACGAAGATACCGCCTGTGGAATTGACGAGGAAGTTTCCTCCATCGAAGTCGTTAGTATACTCAATCACCTTTGTGTTGTATACTCCAAGAAGCAAAGCAGCTCCAATAAACGCCCCCAATACCTCAACGATGATGTAGGGAATCAGGAGGGACCAACGTAGGCTACCAAGGACGGAGTTCGCTACAGCAACAGCAGGATTCAAAATTGCTGGTGAGGCCTTGTTTCCTCCCACCTTAATCGCTATTGCCACTGCAGCACCCCATCCGGCACTAATCTCAAGGAACCTGGAATTAAGGAAGAATTTCTGTGCCACTGCTCCGTCACCGTAGAAGATGAGAACTGCGGTAGCAAGGGTTTCAGCCATGAGTTGGGTCACAATCGGATGATTTGTCAAGCGGATTTTGTCAGCACTGCGATGGATGAAGGTGCGGTACTTGTTATACCATCTGGAATTGCGGCTGTAGATGCGAGAATCAATGCTGCTCGCCGGCATTTTCGTGGGGTCTCATAACAGCTAATGTCGCCGTTGGTGCTTTTATAATGCTTCGTTTGATTCGTGGTGTGTGCGCGTGTGTGTGCACACACACGCGCACACACATTCTAATTTAACAGAAAATGACGATTATGAAAATGGAGCTAGGCGTTAGCTCTGCTTTGCGCCGAGGTGAGCAACAGCGCGCATGCCATTGGCTGCAGTTGCCAATAGTTTTTCGAGCAGATAGTTTCGAAAACTATCATGTTATCCGTTGATATTAATTTTCTCTGCCACCGACTTACCAGATACGAGATCGCAAAGCGAAATGTGGACATCAAGTGCAAAATCAGTGTGACTTACTTCGTCATTTTATTTCAGAAAGTAAATTTTGTTTAAGTAACCTCATGTTTCGGTGATCAAATTCACAAACTTGGTGAATCGTGTCACGAGCTCACTCAACCGAAATCACTTTACTATTATCAAAGCCAATTTTTCACTAGTACATTAGGTAAATTATTTGAAACGAAAATCTTAATAATCTTACGATATTTTCACCGAAGGATAGTTATCACTTAAAATTTCCAAATCAGCTGTTCAGCCATTATTTTTCCAAGGTCCTGGAGCCCTAGGTCGATAATGCCTTGATGATGCAACCTATTTTAGCTTAAGAAACCATCAGAAATTATCTCCAAAACTTTTTAATAATAAGCAAATGGCTAGCTTTTAAATAGGGCGCAAAACGTACACATGCTATGAGACAGCATCTAATGCCTAATTTCAGCATCCATTCTTAAATCAGCACAAGCATTTTTAAGTGAGGTCTTAGTGGATTCGTTTGGCGCAATTCCAGCCTCGATCTGCCAAATTCGCCTGAACTACAATGAGTGTTACTCACGTCATCGAACCACACCCGTTTGCACCATCTAACCAATAAGGTTAAAGAGGCGTTGGCTGAAACCTCCCTTTGTTGAATGACAAGAGTTGTGGCATGACTGCTTTGGGGAAAGTACTTCGAAGTTACATTCACAAGTTGATGCAAGTAAATTTGTTACTCCGATATTTGGTCAACTTCCTACACTCTCTGAAGTCATTTGGCATTGTTCACAACTTTATCACGTAAAATGTCAAAGCTGGGTGGTTTCAAGTTGTTAATTTTTACCCGTTACCAGAACCACAGGATCAGATCACCTGTACTCCAAATTTCTTGTCATACACTAGACCCTGCCTTGCCAGTATAGGACAAAAACAGGACCTTATGCAAAAAGCTTTTATTGCCTCAATCACGGGTCGAGTAACAGCTCATTTATTAGTCATGGATGACCTTTACCTGATGGATCATGGCGGATTCGCACAGACGAAGCTGGCGGTGGGGTGCTGTGGACGACTGACTGGGAGTCAAGTGAATAACGACGAAATCCGATTTAGCGACGAACAGTCGTGAGGAATCCTGTCAAGAATTGACCTCGTAATGGTCAAATTTAACTAAACTTATCTGTTACGCATGCCGCAAAAGGACTACCACTTGTTTAATTGCTACTTGAGAAGTGAGAGACCTCAGCGGAAACGATGTTTTTGCAAGGTTTCGATCGCCACATTCATTGGCTACTGCAGCGATGAGCTTAGTAGCGTGAAGATAGCGACTTAATGTCTGGCCAAATCTCGGCTTACTCTTTCGTGTGCCCACGTCTTTAGCGATAAGTCAGCAGGCATAGTTTCGAACAGATTTGTTATCTTTATTGTTACAGCTTTGAACTTAAACTGTAACCCTTCAGGAAAGATAAAGTCCCATCACTTGCTACTGTTGAGACAGATCAACATGTACATCGTTCTATCGCCCAATCAAAGCATTCTTGGCTATACTTCAAGTGAAAATGGACTGGCGCAACCAATAAGAGGCCTGCAGAGAAATAAAGAAATCTAATTTTGCTGCACGAAGCTCAATTGAAGGTTCCATATTTGTAACGGTGCACTGATAATTAAGTATATAAGAACGGTCTATCAGTTCCAATGGGAGTGAAATACGACTGAAAGCTTCATGAAATTAATCTCAAGAAGGCAATGCGTGGTATAACTAATTTGACAGTGCAAGAAAAAACTATTTGAGTCAAGGAAAAAACACAAATAATCTCGCCAATTACATTGCATGCCTTTCGTGGAGGGACCGTTTCTGTATATTAGGCTTTTTTTGTTTTAAAAAACTACGCAGGTTTGTCGTCGACCCCCTATCAGCAGACAAATCACTCGGCAATGGGCTGCCCTCGTCTTTCTTCACCCTAGAACCGCCGGATTGCCACGCGGGCTGCGAAGATTCACCGGTTTGCTTAGTTGATTTGTTTACTGATTTGAGCTGGGTGGGTTTATCGCCTTTAGAAGGCTTTTGCGATAACTGGGGCACCGCGATAGTCTGGGTGGAGTCCCCAGCTGTAAGGACTTGGCCTGAGACCTCCTCGTAACTTGCAGAGGGTACGTAAGGTAAGGTGGACGCTGCGGCTGTGCTACTACTACTGTGTTTAACCGGCAGAGGCATGAGATTCGCTTGCATCTCTTCCTCCTTCGCCTTTTGCCAATTGGCTTCCTTTAGTGCCTCAAATGCCGAGAGGACATTTTTGTGGTTGCGGATTTGCTGGACATCGGAACTGGTGCCACGTCTTAAAAAGGACAATTCCTCGTCTTCTACGGCAATGGCATCGACATCCTCCTCTAGTTTTTCACCAGCCTTATTGCCTTTACTCCCGCTTAAGGTTGGTGTCTTTTTGCCGCCTGTCAGCCATCGAATGGCCTGCTTGGATGCTTCCAATGGAGTCGGTGAAATGGTCGTAAATGTAGGCTCTTGAGTAATAACCACTCCGTCCTGTAAAATAGCATCAACGAATTCGTCTTGGATGCTTCTTCTGTCCTCATTCGAAGACGCCTTCTTTTCGATTGAGGTGGTCTCAGCGGTGCCAGAGGAGAAAGAATAGCTTGTCGCGGGAAACACGTTAGGGGCATAGTTCTTGATGAAATCCGTAGTGAAAGCTGGATCTGTGGCCAAAGTTAGGTCCGCGTTGGCCATTATCCGGACTATTTCCGAGTTTGTGGTATTTATGCTCGCCGCTGTCACTTCACAGAAGGCGTGCATCAGACGAGATTTCGGGTCAGTTTGTTCCTCATGGGGCGGCGATTTCGCGTCATCATCAGATTTGTTGGAAGACCTACGACGGTAGTAATGGGTTATGAGTGCTTGAACTCCCCTGAATTTCTCGATGAGGCAATGTTTGATATTCTTAGTAAGTAGAGCAAGGCGATGAGCCCTGAGAGCGAAGTCCCTTCCATCAGAGTTGATCCAATCTGCTGCGTGCAGTATAACTTGCTGTTTTGACCGTTCAACCTCCCCCAGTCGCCGGGCTATAGAATATGCTAACTTCAATGTCTCCTGTTTATTTTCGAAACCCTCAATCCTGTGGCTTCGTCTTTCGCGGTTCGTAGCCGAGTGGAAAAGGTTCCTTGGAAGAACTGCAATGGTGTCGCGTTCCTCAATGGTGGCCACCGCCGCGGCAGCTGGAATTACCATCCTGGTAGTAAGTCGTGCAAGCCGTGCTTTGAGTCGGGCCTGCACCTTGACAAGGCGCTCAGCGCTCCTACTGGGTCGTTTTACCATTTCCCCGTTGAAACGGTGCAGCTGGTCCCACCAGTGAGGAGCTACTGAGTCGAAAAACGTAAGCAAAGCGAGCACACGGCGCCGATAGTTTTCAATTTCGGCCGCCAGGGCAGCACCCTTTTGCAGGGTGACCCCCGTGAAGGAGTTGTAGGGCGCAGTGACGACACTCTCGGCATGGGTGAGATCCTGATCTGCCTCCTGGTGGTTTCGTTCCCAGACGGGGCGGCCCCTGTACCGCCGATATGAGTAGCCGAAGTTCATATCGCCTTTACCAGTCCGATGTTTTCACGTGTACCAGCCGCATGAATAACTTTGAAATTAACCCGCGACGTATGACGCGAAATCAATAAATCACGTGACGCAGACACCGCTCCGGATCGCAGAGGGTCCACGAGACTTACTGAATTCGAGCGCTACGCGCCTCTGGTGCTTTTACAACTTCCCCTACTTTTTTGCACCCCTGATTCACTATTGGAACCGGTCACGATTATTACAACTTTTTCAGTGCCTACTAATGTACAACAAGTAAAGGAGGTTTTCGGAAGCAGTCAGAACAAGTATTGTAGTGATCAGCGAAGTTTAATTCTGCAAATGTCGGTGTCCAACTACCTTTCCAATGGCTATCAAGCCATGGACAGGCGGTTGCTGATTTGCGTGGTGCTTAGCTGTACAAAGACCCAGAAACTAAATTTCAAATAATTGAGAGGGGGCTGAAGGGTGAAAGAAGTGGGTAAGAAGAGGGAAGCAGGGGTTGTAGGTTTGGTGGTCTCAGCTGTTGCAGCAGCCTTATGAGAGACAAGTCAGGTAGCTTTCGTGGACATTTTGTGTATTCTGCTTTAGGAGAAACAGACTTCTCCAATCTGGACACCAAAAGCATCGACGCCAGGAGCAAATTTGACGTCACGAAGTGGAAGACGCGAGGGGCTGCCATCGACCCTAACGGTTGTTGAACCTTCGGCGACCTACAAAGAAACAAGGTACAGTTTAGACAATAAATGCAGGCAGATATTAGCTAGTTTGACTCCTGTTTAAGAAGGGCGCGGTAGTGCAGCGGTTACAGTGTAAATTCAAAATCATTGAACGGATTGTCTGAAAGCGCTGAGAGCAGACAGGAGGGGATGGCTTAGTGATTGACTTACCCGGCCACATTCATTCTCGAGCAACGCAAACCTTCTCTTTGGATGACTCATTGTCAGAATGGTATCATCGTCGGCAAGGAGTTCGGGCGAAGTTGAGTTCTCAGAACGCCCTTGGCAAGAAATGTGAAGGGTCTGGAAAGCGCGAGAACTGAACACCTTCAAGAAAGCCAACTGATCGGCGTCGATGGCATAGTCAAACTGCAAGGAGATAGGAATTGCTAGGCATTAAGCTGAAGTTACGGTCCTGAACATCAACAGTCGAGTTTGTCTCCTCACCTCTCCAAACTTGTTATATTGCTGGAACCAAACTGGAATTTCTTTAGGAACTCCTGCCCAGCTGGTAATAGGGAAAGATCGTTTGGCCTGAATGCACGATTCACCAGTCTTGATTTTGCAGTAAACTTTAACCGCATCATTTGTGCGACCACCGTTCGGATCAAGCCAGTAATACCCTACAAAATTTGCCGATTTGGGTATTAGTTAATGCCATGAAATCCAGGAGCCTTATCAGAAAAGTAGCTCACCATCGGCGTAGCTGGGGAAGGTGGCGGCCAACTGGGCGCAGGTCCTAGCAGGAACTTCCTGGGTCCCACGGGGGAATTTGATGGAATTCATACCGAAATGACGGGCAACTTTGGGGTCATCACCGTATAGGAGACCCTTAGTAGGTGACCGACGGGCTTGAACACTCATAATTGAACCGGGCGGCCCGGGTGGACCAGGCGGACCTGGGGGACCTTGAACGCCAGGTGGGCCAGGATCGCCGTCATTACCAGGCGGTCCCATAGGACCCATCTCGCCGATCTCACCGGTTTCACCACGAAGGCCGGGGGGGCCTTGAGGTCCACGCTCACCAGGCGGTCCCGTGGGGCCACGTTTTCCTACAGGACCTGGGTAACCAGCCGGTCCATCGTGGCCAGGTGGTCCTTGAAGACCAGCAGGTCCCTTTCCACCAGGAGCTCCTTTAGGACCAGCAGGTCCGCGTTTACCGGGAGTACCTTCCTTTCCTCGACGTCCGGGCGTCCCTTGAGGTCCACGAGGACCCGTCTCACCATCTGAACCGTCGGCACCAGGGGCTCCGTCTTCACCTCGGGGCCCTGGTTCGCCCTTTGGACCGACAGGCCCACGAGGTCCGCGAAGGCCAAGAGGTCCTGCAGGGCCATCAAGACCAGGGGGACCAGGAGGACCCGGAGGACCTTGGGAACCGCGAGCTCCAGGAGGACCTTGATTTCCCCGTCTACCCGCAGGACCAGTTCGACCTTTGGGACCAGCGTCCCCAGCCTCACCAGGGGGACCCGTTTCGCCATAAGGTCCCGGAGGACCTTGTTCACCTTGGGCACCCTCAATGCCTTCCTTGCCTTCAGGTCCCTCGGGGCCTGGTTCACCAGGTGCACCGACGAAGCCTGGATGGCCAGGGGGACCTTCAGGGCCTTGCTTACCGGGAGCTCCAGCATCTCCAGCAGGCCCAGGGGGTCCAGGCGGACCTCTTCGTCCCTGTGGACCTTTTCGTCCGTCAGGTCCATCGGTACCGTTTGCACCAGCGGGCCCGGTAAGGCCGCGGTCGCCCATCGGGCCTGTGGGACCAGTTGGACCGCGTTTACCTGTCTCACCTGCCGCTCCAGGGGGGCCATCCTGGCCAACAGGACCAGCTTTACCAGGCGGTCCAGGACGACCCATGGCGCCAGGTTCTCCGCCGGGTCCACGAGGACCAACCGGACCATCCTCGCCAGGAACCCCATCCGGACCATCTTCACCATCAACGCCTGGTTTACCGTCGGGACCAGGGTCACCTGCAGGCCCAGTGGGTCCTTGTTCACCAGGCTCTCCGGGTGCTCCCGGTGGACCAGCTTCTCCGGGCTCTCCTTTGGGGCCTTGGTCACCGGATGGACCAGAACGCCCGGTGGGACCTCGTGGACCCTTCGGACCCTGGCCGCCAGCGACAGGAACTAATTCACGCGCGATGCCAGCAGCACCCGCGGGACCACGCATGCCCTGGGGTCCTCGAATACCCTTAGTGGCGGAAAAAAACAATATAACTAAACGATGCATGGAATTATTTAAGACAATAAGGCTGCAAGAAAGGTATTTACATCCAATCCAGGGGTTCCGGGGGGACCGGCTAAGCCCTCGTCACCCTCTTCGCCAACTTCTCCAGGGATTCCTGTTTTGCCTGGTGGGCCAGGTGGACCAGATGGTCCCTACAACGACAAAAGCAACAAACTGCAATTACATTTATTGTTTAGCGCAATACGTGGAAAGGTATTGATCTGATCTGAACCTGACTCGCACGCGGTACATAATGCAAGAAAGGTGACACAATCAATGTTGGCGGCTGTACTAAGCCGAACTATTTCATGCTCATTAAGAATTTGCGGTCCTGAAAGTGTGCAAAAGTAGGACACATTTCTGACTTTTAAGGGCAATTAAGGTCACTTGCCTGCGGGCCAGGAGGTCCAGCGGCACCGTCATCTCCAGGTCCGCCATCGACACCCTTCTCGCCTGTGACACCACGTTCACCGCGGATACCGCGAGATCCAGGTGGGCCCTGTTCGCCTGGTTCACCTGGCGGGCCAGGTGCTCCATCCTTGCCTCGGGCTCCGGGCTTGCCGTCCTTACCGGAGACGCCATCGAAGCCTGGTGGACCGACGTCTCCCTCGGCACCGGCGCTGCCAGCAGGTCCCTGATCGCCAGATGGACCGGGGAAGCCAGGAACACCCTGGCTTCCAGTGGGACCGGTGGCGCCATCAAGACCTGGTGGACCGGAATCACCAGGCTCGCCAATATCACCGACCAGACCAGCAAACCCAGTTATACCTTTTGGACCTTGTTCACCCACGGGACCCGGAACGCCCTAAAACAGTGCAAGGTAATTTAGCAGTCAAGGGGGGTTGAGCCATGGTTTTGATAAGCTTCGTGGTTCTACTCTACGAATGAACGAAGACCTGCAAAAACTACACAGTTTTCTCTCACTATTGCCATGGCGAGACAAATCGAATGACCACTTGTGAAGACTTAAGAAGATACGGTAACTTAAACCACCCTTGATTCTTCCTACAAATACGTACGACATGCCGCCAAGAAGAGGACGTATTCTGTATCATCCATACCATCAAACCACAAGTCCGCACTTGTATTTGTGAGAGTCACGCGATAAACAAAGGAAGTCTTTTAATCAGACCTATTAGAATGGTTTGTCTGAGCATGGAATTATGAAGGATCACATAAGACGCCAACACAATATTATTTCAGTAAGTAGATCCAAGAATTTCATTGAGTTGTATAAACAGAAGTGAAGTATACTGAAGATAAGCACAAAGACCAATGAGACGAGGAGCGAGAGATAGATACTGGACTATTGTGATGGGGGTTCAACGGGGCACCTACCGTAGGTCCGGGAGGACCAGGTGGGCCTAGCGCACCAGAAGCGCCAGGGGAGCCGGGCTTTCCGAGGTTTCCAGGACGACCAGGGGGTCCAGGTGGACCTCTCGCTCCTTTGGGTCCCGTGGCTCCGTCAAGTCCGTGAGGTCCCATGTCGCCACGGGGACCAGGCTGACCGTCCATTCCGGAGCGACCCATCGGACCCGGGGGTCCAGTTAGACCTGGCTCGCCCTGTGGACCGTTCTCGCCGGGGGCTCCGTCGGGACCAGGGCGACCGTCCAATCCGGGGGATCCAGGCAGACCTGGTGGACCGGATTCTCCACGGGTGCCCTACGATTGGACGTTTGTGAACAAATCAGGGTTCACTCCTTAGTCACTTAAGTGGATGCTGTTTTTTGTACTAAAGCTCATGTTTGATTGGTGCCTGTTTCCCAGTCGTATTTCTATTGGTCAAGCTCAGACGAAACGTGACACATCACGCGTAGCACGTCAATTAGTCTCTCCATGTGATCATTAGGACAGAAACACAACGTGAAAATTCACTACATCTTTATCCCTCCTGTTGATCATCAAAATTTGCTAGATGTAGCTGAAAATGGCATTGCGAGGGCCCAAATCGAAGGTGATAGGTTAAATGAGAAAATCGATCAGCGAGTTAACTGATTTCCTACCTTGGCTCCGGGAGCACCCATTGGGCCTTGATCACCACGGGGGCCGATTTCGCCCTGGTCGCCGTCTCGTCCGGTCTGGCCGCGTTCTCCCTTCTGTCCGACTGCGCCCGTAGGGCCCACAGGTCCCATGGGGCCGGAGTCACCGGTCGGACCTTTGCGTCCCTGCGCACCGGTCCTGCCCGCGACACCGCGATCCCCCCTGCGTCCGGTGGGACCCATCGGCCCCTGGGGGCCTGCTTCGCCGGCCTCACCGCGTGGACCTGGACGTCCGTCCAGACCTGGTTCACCCTAAATCATTCAACTTTCCGTTTATCCGGGTTGTCGTTGATTGGGTATTCATTACCCTCAAAAGGTTAAAGGCTTGGACTTGACAAAATCGGCGTGAGCAACGGATTGGTCGATATTACGAAATCATTATTCAAAACGAAGATTTATTTAATTTGCTGTGCATGGGAGCAAGCATTTCAAGATACAACACTAGGGCAGATTCCTCCCAATAACCCGGATGTCAATGTGATCGGAAAAGGTTCCGAGGTTTGAAAGAATTTGATTTTATTTCTTGATTAGGCAATAATAAACTGACCTGCTTGACACTACTCGCATCTTAAATAGCTATATCGTTTTTATGAGGTCGCTTTTTTCGAAATTCAGTCATTTGGGTCAGCGTAATAAATAAATCTACCGCTTTTGCCAACTTGCGAAATGAGCAGTTGATCTTGGAGAAAGTTATGAGGGAAAGAGGGGTGGGAAATCGAAAAGGAGACGTACCACGGGTCCGGGTTCACCAGCAGGTCCTGGACTTCCAGCAGCGCCAGCGGCTCCACGTTTCCCACGAGGCCCACGGGGACCGCTTTCACCACGCTTGCCCTTCGGTCCGATTTGACCGGAGACACCGGGAGGGCCCGGGGGTCCCATGGCACCCTGGGGTCCGGGAAGACCAGCACGGCCATCGGCTCCAGCCTCGCCGCGTGGACCGACTGCACCCTGGTATCCAGTTGGGCCCATCTGACCGACTGGACCCATTGGACCTGCAGGACCAGGTGGACCGACCGGTCCTGGGGACCCCTGAAAGAGGCGTCAATCAGATCAACAAGGTGAAATTCAAACTTGTAACGAACAGGGTTTTGTTGAATGTCTGTTTCGACCACGAAAATCGGGCTAAATCTGTAAAAACCACATCTAATCCTCTGGTGCTAATGCATTAATTTGACCTGTCTGTTGGCCTCTAGCTTAAGAGCGTTAACAGCAGACGTATGAACTATCAAATCAATCACCATTGCGGGCTAATTCATGGTTGAACTTACAGTCATACCGTCGAAGCCAGCATCACCCTTTTCGCCAGGAGGACCCTGGTAGCCTTGACGACCAGGGGGGCCAGTTGGACCGGGTTCACCAGCTACTCCGGGGAGACCCTGAGGACCGGGAGGTCCAGCTACACCGGGCAAACCATCACGACCGTTTTTGCCAGCTATGCCAGGGGGACCCTGAGGCCCCTGTGCACCGGCAGCTCCGTCAGGACCTGGAGGTCCGGCTGGACCGGGTGGACCAGGGGGACCAACGGCGCCTTCCGGACCCGCGGGACCGGGATCTCCGCGAGGACCTTGGGGGCCCATTGCAGCTGTCGGGCTGCTTGCTTGACCTGCAAATGCGGACGTAGGGGTTCGACAACAACCCGACATCAACTCACACCACTAAGGTGTTAAGGTTTCCGCCGGAGACATTCCTGGATAGTTTGAGAGCGAATTCGCAGTCTACCACATCATTGCCTACTAAAGTGATCTGGGGAGACTTCGCGTTTGAAAGAACATCTGCATGTTCTCGTTTCCTTGATAATTCGCGTATCCATTAATCAGTAGTCATCAAAACCCTTACCGAGTTATGACGTGAAAGTTCAAATAACTCGGCCAATCACTACCTTCAACACCGAAATGGTCATCTCCAAATAAGTGAAGTTGAGAAAATCAAGAATCAATCGAGAGTGCATAATTGGCATTGAGATCTTATTCCCTAGAGCAGATTTAACAAATTTCATGTTTTGCTGAGAAGGCTTTAGTACAATGGGTCTACATAGTTGAGTAACTACCCTGAATGTTGAGGTTCAAATTTAGCAGTTCAGGATAATTAAATTCCAGCCGAGTAGAAGTCGGTGTAAGACTGGTTGGATCTAAGTTGTTGGAATCGATAGCGCAAACTCTGACCGCACCATTAAAGGTTATTTTTGCAAATTCAGTCACAATGACAACGAGAGACGGTTTGTTGGCGGCACTGTTTGCCTCGACAGATTACATTAACAGAAGTTGCTTAACAACTGGCGTCCGGGAAACACTTTTAAATTCACTATATCGTTTTCAAAACATTTATAAACGATGAGTTTGATGCACCAATTCTACTGGTTCTTCAAACAGGTAAAAACGTTTAAATGCCCTCATCAACTCGTAAGTGCAGCAGGTACAACAGTAGAGAACATTTAGGTGGACGAAACGAAAGGGTAATCAACAGTAAAGTGCACTCACCGTGAACACTAGATAAGAGGCATGGGATTAGGATGAAGCAAAGAATCCCAAGTTGCAGAGGAACTCTCAACTGCCTCGTTCCTCCAGAGGCGACCATTGTGAATGCGCCACCACAAACTCACACACGCAAGTGAGAAGATGGACAACGCTCGGAAATCTACTGTTGCCGTCTCTCGCCTCCCGCTCGGTGTGCTGCGACGGCGATGCGGGTTATTCTCACTTGGGTAGACCGCGCTGGTCCCTAGTTTGCGTTGTCCCGTGGCACCGATGCACGCAATTGGCGCGCACTCGCGCAAATCGATTTAACACCGCAACGGCTTCAAGCGTGAACGTGTGCACGCACGCGCGAACCAATCACCGATTCAACCTATTAATCTGACAAATGATTGGTCGGGTTAGTGCGCCTGCTGACCATTCACGCAAAGATGAGCGCTAATAAGTAGGCCAGCTGGGTCGACCTGGTTTCAACGGCAGTTACCCAAATTGTACAAAGGCTGAACCAGCGGAATTTGTTACGAAAATTTAGGGGAAATCAAGATTTGACAGAAAGAGAATTAAAGTGTGTTGTAGAAATGGCTTTTGCGGGGAAAAGTGTTGTCGCCATTTACATTGTCCCAAATTACGCAACCGGCATCAGCCACACATTTGCGGCAGTCGGGGTTCTGTTTAATTTCGACCAATAAAATTAGCAGTATACTCTTCCAATCACCTTGACATCGTACTTTATTTGCCACGTAGAATCAAGTAAATGTGATTACTCAGAATGGAATTAAGGTGAGGAGGACTTAACCACTTAAAAAGGCCTTAGCATAATTGTGTTCGTGTGGGTTCCATCGTGTATGACTATTGGAAGTTGTTGATTAATCCACCTGGGGTTAACTCGTGGAAGGTGCACGTGACTGAATGTCCAGGTGCGCGAGGAGTAGTGGACAGGGGTGAGCGATCAGACGTGCTTATGACGGCGTGTTTGAGCATGCGTCGACGGTGTTGGTGGACGTGAATCACCGCAATTCACTGGACGGCCATCTCAAGACACCAAAAGTGTGCAAAACGAGTCGAAGTTGTAATTACTTATGTCGACGCTTGCCGAGGCATTGTCATGAAAATTTTCCGTCTATGTAGGAACAAATTTTTGACTGAATTCGGGTAAAATCTAGCGCGTAATTCCCAGAATGATAGCTTCAAGCAATCACGACATATTTTATTAATTGGCAAATATAGGCGTGTTCATTCATGTTATCGATCGATGCACAGATCAACCATTATTGATTCCTGGCGTTGCTATGCCGTGTTTAGATGCGGAGGTCAAATCAAAACTTTGGCAAATTTCACATCTAGGTTTGCCACCATAGGATATCAATATCTTGCAGGAAAATCTATCCAGAAAACCTTCGTAACCTCAATAGCCATAAGAAAACCACTAACTTCAAATGTGGCGGCTAGCACTCGAACACTTTTATGCTGTTTCAATTGGTTATTTTGAATTCACGTCAATTAATAATGTTCATCCAGAGATTAAAACGTAAAGCATTCCAACTCGACGACTTGTCACGCTAAAGGGCTATCCCTTACGGTAGCAATAAATCGGTTGAGCGTTGCCTTTTCTGCCGTCTCTTCCACCTTATCACCGGTTCGAAAACTACAATTGTGACCTCTCTCTTGAAAACGCTCGGCTTTCCACGAGCTCAAAGTCCATGGTTGTGCGAGACAGCGTAGAAAACGCTCGTAGTATTGTTGTGAATCGTGTTTATTCACGCTACTTAATCCGGTCAGGGTTCCCCTTTTCGCAGCATGTCGCCAGCCGAGCGGATCCTAAACTCCCCTCATTCTCACGAATATTTGTCTTGGATTATCCTCACACCTAGGTCTCGATGCTAGCGCATGTACGATTCACACACACGAGGTATAAATACACACTCGCAAACCCCGCACACGACACCAACGTGGTTGAGCTCTGAAGTAAACGGTTGTGTCCACGTCCTCTCCGATCTTTAACTACATCGCGCATATCAGGGAAACGTAACTGGGCCAGGGTTAAATCGGTGGCCCCGCCGTGGTAAAAGACAACATGCTGGGGCCCACAACATCATCGAAAATTTCTTCTTCCACCTTCCAGCGTCGACTTTCAAAGTACTCTCAAACAGACTCTTCTGTAACAATAAACGGTTAACACGTCGTAGTTCCTAGGGTAATTACTGAGTCTTCCTGGCTCATGTCGGTTACCCCAGCAATCGCATAGTCAGACTCGCCCCCAAACATTTCCACGGTGTTCCCAAGGCAATGTTTATGCACTCCTGTGTGTGTACGTCCCCTCTGCTACTTGTTTCGTTTATCCGTGCATTTAGCCATTTGTACTCGTACAAGTTCATCCTGACTCCATTGATCAACAACCTCAGACGCGAATGCTTATGCGCAGTGGCGCAACACCATGACACAACTAAGTTGACCCAAACAAGTAGGCACCTGAATCTCCGCCATCTTCTGTCTGTAGTGGCTTCGTTAGTACCTCCTTACAGCCCTCTCGTTACCAGCCTTTTTACTAGCATTACGCCAGCCAAGTGTGTGCATGTAGATTAGTGAGGGGATGATGAGAGTCTGATAGCAGTAACCAATGTAAGAGAGAAGAGTCATTGGCAGCATCAGGTCGACTTTTTTGGGCCATTACAAAGCGGTGGTCCCTACGTGGTACATGGTACACGGTAACTACATTGACGCTAAAGTGTGCTGTCATGTGAGACATCTGAGCGGGAGGAGTGACTTAACCTTGCATTCCACTGATTCCAACATTCAGCCTGTCTCCGTGCTATCTGTGACTGACAAGACACTCGTCTACCGTGCAAGTACTTATTGGGCTGTTACGCGAACTCACAGCCGCAAATGTTGTCGTCTATCTTTTCCTTAGTCTTCGCTCTTTACGGTCGCTAATATCAAGCGAACACTCCTGAGTCCTTAACCTGCAGTAACACAATCGATAGAATTTAGGCTATCATCAAAGTGACACTCGTTATATTATGAAAAAAAAGCATTTGAAAAGACTGAAGACGCTAAGGGAGGTAAATAATGTAGCGCAAACAAAGTAGGCATGAATGAAAAAGAGCAAAAAAATGTAAAAAAGTATTCAAAAACAGTTAGGAGCAAAAAAGTGAGAATCGTTGATGAAAAGGTGATGGGAGAAAAATAATTGATTACAATTCAGTTGCGATTCACTGGTAAACAGATGAAAGCCCCAGGAACAAATAGTAGAACCTCGTAGTTTAAGCCATAAACGGCTTCACCTGCGCTAGAATAAAGAAACAAGATGAATGAGTCGCTGCTTTGCCCAACCAGGACAGGGCAGGGCAAAGTAAAATCATACTCAAGGATGACTAGACTAATAGGAAGAGGGTTGCTAATATTGTTGCAAAAGTTGGTGTGCCACATCGGTAAAGCTTGTTAAGGAGGCGCACGCTAAAATGTGGCACGAACTTTCAAGCCGCTGATTTAGGTGCTAATAAGTATAAGGGTCTGTACAGCAATTTATCATAAAACCTCACACATAGTCAAAGACACCTGGCAGTCGCATTTGAAATGATATCATTATAATCAAAGAACATCTTGTTCCATGACACATCACGATGCTAAATTCAACGATATGCTAAATGACTACTAAATGCTAAAAATTAGTGGGAAGTTCTTCAAAAACAATTCCATATCTATCCTCACAATAATTTAAACCTGTTATTATGGTTGTCCCAGAATAAATATTACGACGATAAGTGCAGTAAACAATAGAAGTTCGACGGTAAAGGTAAACAACAAATAGACAAACCTAACACTAGCGACGGATTTGAAGTGTGTTCCAACAAAATCAGTTTAGTAAAACAAGGACTTATATGGAGAAAAAAACATGAAAAAGGTTACACTATCCCGGCTAATTGATATTTCAAGGCACAAAAAAAAATAACAATCCAAAAAAATCAGATTGTAGAGGGTCCGAATTTGATCCAAATAGTTCGCTGGTAACCTGAACATCCTCTTCCAACGTCACCTTTTACCCTTCCACTTGTTGATCTTGTAACATATAATTATTTGAACATTGATATTTTCTTTCGGCTCTTGTGTTTTGTGGATAGGTATATACTGAGGTACCAGAAATAATCAGACTTCCTTCTTTAGGTTTTTAACAG